CCTCAAATGCATTTATATTTCTTGGTTATTTCTAACACGTTAATGAACAAACAGCCCAAATATAAGTCATAACTGAATATTTCTATTCTTAGAGGTACTATTATATAGTGATGAAACTCATTAAGTATTAGTTCACAAGCTTCCTTAAATTTGTCATATTTTCTTGATACATTTAAGAACGTCATTGATAAAATTCTGAGAACGATATTGCTCCTTTCACATGCATGAGAGTCCACCCCTGGGTAAGATACACATTCTTTCCAAATGTATTAGCCTGTCAGTAGATACTTATAAATGACACTCCAAACACATAATGGAGAGTTTGCTCTATTATATCCCCCACCAGTCCAGCTGTGTGTGGGAGCACGCATACAATGAACCATAATTCGTGAAACCGTTTTGAAGTAAGTGCCTTAGTTTTCTTGAGTTTGGAAATGTAGCAGATTTGCAGCCCTGCAAGGACTCATTTTGCTGACAAAATGAATATCCAATCCAAAATGCTTTGGTCAAGCATGCTGAATGGGATTAGCAGCCATGTAGGTAGCATTCATATTATCACGAAAAACAATCAATAGTTGTGACAGTTAGGAACATCATTCATATCCAAGTAAGATCCATAACTGCAAAAGCCACAGCGTGATATTCAGCTGTTGTGCTGGAGTGAGAAATTCTTTGCCCTACAGGAGGAAGATATAATATCCGGTTGTTGGTGGTAGGTATTCGGACAGCCAGCCTAGTCAACTTCAGAATACCCAATTAGTTGTGAAGATGGGTCGGAATGCAACTGTAAAGCAAAAGTAAGGGTACTGCAAATGTAATGAATGATTCATTTTGTGGCTTGAAGATGGTTGTGCCTTAGATTGTGCATAAAGTGGCAGACTTGATTCACTGCAAAAGAGATGTCAGCCCTAGTGTGGGCAAGATATTGCAGAGCACCAACTAAGCTCATGTACAAAGTTGGATCAGGAATAGGCGAGATAATTTGCCTTTAAATTGACACGGAGAGGCGAGAGGCTTCTAGGACTCAAATAGTCTCCTTTGTAATAAGTCAAGGGCATTGTCTGATTGGTCCAAAAAGAGTCTTTTATTTTCTTGTGACTCGAATACCTTGGAAAAAATACAAGTTGCCAGGTCATTCATTGCAAACTGCATTTGAACTGATACAGAAAAGCTTGCAAGAGAACTTGTGAAGAGGCAGTTAATGTAATGTCATTGACATATAAAAGGAGGATAGCCATGCCAAATTCAGATTTGAACATAAAAATGGATGGATAGCCATTTAATTTATATGTATTTACTGACATAATATGTACATTTGGAAAGAATGTAATTTATTTTATACTTTCCTTATTTCTATCTCATCCAAGGGTGGATTCCCATGTACAAATACCAGCCTTGAAAATCAATACAGTGAAGCTATATATGTTCTCTGCAAATGTATGTATTCTGTCAGTAAATACATATAAATGACATGCCAAACCCATAACAGAGAGTATAATTCACATTTACAATGACGTTATAATTCACATTTACAATGACTTTCGTCCTGGTCATCTGTCCAACTCCACCACTCAGCTCCTCACCCCCAGGCCAAAGCCTTAATCGCCCCTAAATTTCTGAATGACTTCTGTCCTGGTCATATATCAAACTCCACCACTCAGCCCCTTACACCAAGCCGAAGCCTTAATCGCCCTTAAATTTCAGAATGATACAGAGTACTGCTTATTTTCAGTTCCATGTCAAGGTTTATTATAGCTGTGCTTTTTATAACTTCTAATCAATTAATATGATTC